GTGGAGATTAGACTCTGTGCGGGGAGTGAAGCGCCCAGGGAGGAGGCTACTGCAATGGTCCCAGCAAGAGGTGGTAGCAACTTGGTTCAGGGTAATAGGGCCGAGGTGGTGAGGGGTTGACAGATTTATGGATCTATGTTGAAGGAAGGGCCATGTCCAGGCTGTCACACAGGGCTTCTCTCTACCACGGAGCACACCACGGAGCACACTTGTTCTCCAGCCTCTCAGACCCTGTAGCAGACAGAATAATGGCCCGCAATAAAGTCCACATCCTAACCCCTCGAGCCTGTGAATATGTGACCTTACATGGCGGCAGGGACTTTGCAGCTGTAATTAAGTTAAGGATCTTGCGATGGGGAGACGATCCTGGAGCATGCGGGAAGGCCCCATTTGACCCCAAACGTCCTTATATGAGGGATGCGGAGGGAGATTTGGGACACACAGTGGAGGAGGGATGATGTGACCACAGAGGCAGAGATTGGAGTGATGCAGCCACAAGCCAAGGATCCCAGCAGCTGCCAGGAGGTGGGGGAGACAAGGAGCAGATTCTCCCCTGGAGCTTCCGGAGGGAGTGTGGCCCCGCCGACATCTTGATCTTGCACTTCGGGCCTCCAGAACTGAGCAAGAATCAATTTCTGGTGTTTTAAGCCACCCATTTTGTGGCAATTTGTTACAGAAACCACAGGAAGGAAACACAGCATCCTTCCTTGCCCAAGGCTCTAGTCTGTCTCTAGAGGACCCAGAGTAAACATGGAAGGGCTGATATGTGGACTTCGTTTCCAAGTCGTGGCTGTGGCTTGGCAGGGGGAGTGGAGACGGGGTTGGTGGCACCTTGTCCTGCCAGCTTCAACACCCTAAAAGGAAGATTTATTAATAACAGCGAAATGTACCCAAGTGCTGTGCCACCTTCACAGATATGCTTGGCCTCTCTGGGCCTCAAAGCAACCTGGCTGGGAGGCTGGGGGCCACAATCCCTGCTCTCCAGGGGCCCCAGGGGTGTTTAAGCCAACTGGATCCCTGAGCTTTCCCCCAAAGCTTGGGGCCCTAGAAGGAAAGAGAGATATGGCCACAAGTGGGGAAACTAAGGCCGGGAGAGGGGCCAAGCCTGGGTGGGAGCCCCTTCCACCCAGCTGCCTCCCTTCCTGGAGCAGGAACTTCTACAGTTTTCTGAGGCCTGGCCTCCCTTCTCTGACTGGGAGGGCGTGTTTAGAGTCCCCAGGGTGTGTGCCCCACGGAGGGAGGCCGGGCCGCAGGGCCCACTGCGCAGACCAATGAGAGCTCCAGAGAGGGAAGACTGGTCATTTCCTCCCTGCTGGCTGCGTCTTCCCTGCGGCTTTAAAAACCACAGTCTGTGGGCAGGAGGGACCTTTGATCACCCATCGATCGTCGGGAGCCCCGAGCCCAGAATACGGTGAGTCTCGAAGGGGAATGGGCGCAGGAGCCCTTTTCCCTCATCCCCCCGTCTCTGCCCCTGGGGGCGCCTTTCTCTGTCCCCAACTCTCCCTCTTGCTTGTGTCTCCCTTTCCTTCCTCCCTCTCCTCGTCCACCCTCTCCCGCATCCCAGACTCTCACCTCCAGGGCTGGGATGTGGCCGTGGGATAAGGCCGTCCAGGGTTTACGGGAGCCACACTCATCCCACCAGGCTGGGGACCCGTGAAGGCTCCCAGGGGAGGAGACCCTTGAGTTGGGTCTAGAAAGTTCCACCTTGCCTAAGAAGACACGATGAGTACGAATTCCACAACACAGAGAAACTCAGAAAGGGCCTTCTAGGCTGCAGGCAGGGCAGGGTCTTCAGTCGAGTCCGACGAGAACGGGGTCAAGGTGAAGGCGCGGTACTTAGGAGGACAGAGTGACAGTGGCCTAGCTGGGTTTTAGGGAACAGAGGAAGGCGCCAGTTTGGAAGGATGGTTCTGTAACTCCCATGACACTTCCGAGGTTCTGAATGAAAGAGATGGGGAAATTGAGGCCCAGGGAGGAGCAGAGCTGGCCTGGGTCCTGCCATGGTGGGGGCAGAGCCAGGTCGGCTATCGCTGGCTACAGGAGGGTCCCTCTTCCACCCAGACCTGCCAGTCAGCACCTGCGGTAACGCGGCCTCTGGCCTTGCTTCATCCCCACGAAAGAGGAAACGGAAGACAAGTTGGAAGGACCATGGAGGGGGCGTGAGGTTGCTCCATCCCCCTCATCCCACCCTGAGACTTTCAGCTTTTATTTTGATTTCTTTCCATAAAACATTCCAAAGTATCAAAGAGTACTCAGTAAAACCTCCCTCTTCCTGCCTTACTGCAATGATCCCAGCAAGAGGGACCTGCCCACCCCAGAGCCTCCTCTTTGACTGCTTGTCATTGTCCCCAGAGGCACCATGGGGACCGGTGCGTCAAGGTGGATCTTTCTAGAAATAGTCTACAGATGCCCAAGAATAGATGCTTAGGGAACAGAGTGAGGACTAGTGCTATGGGGGACCCTCAAAGTCAAGTTCAACTTCTGTCTCTGCTCTGTAGTAGCCGAGGAGACTTGTCCGTTCTCGGCTGCCTTTTCCTTATCTTTAAGCCGAGGCTAATACTAGAACCCATGTCGTGGGTTAGCAGAGAGAATTAAGTGAGGTAATA